AGCGGAAATTTGATTCGGCCGAGAAGCGAGGCAAAGCGCAAGGACGACGAGCAGGGACGATACATTAACGCAATTACGATTGCGGGAGACGCGACGAAGTCGAGAAATCGGGAGAGGGGGTTGTCCAGGCGGTTGTCTAAGGAGTTGTCCAGAAGTTTGTCCAGGGGTTGTCCAGCCTCAATTCCCACCTCCCCCTTCCGTCCTCCTTATCCTTCGGGTGATGTTCCTCATCCTCTTCGCGCGAGACGCGCGACAACGACCGCTGCAGCCAATTCAGCGCGGTGCGCCGCGCGCGTGCCAACTCGCGAGGGCACCAATTCAGAGATCGCCGCCCCGAGGATCACGACGTCGTGCCACGCGCGAGCAGCGTCGCGCAGGAGGTGGTTCGGACACCGAAATCATAAGGAATCGAAGCGCGCCGCAAGCGAGCTACCGCGCACACTAGCCCATTGAAGGACCCCCGGCGCAGCAGCCACCAAGGCGCGCCCGCGTGGGAGCCATTCTTGGAGCCGCAGCCACAGGGGAGTCCTGCTCGCACGGGAAAATTCGACCGCCACGCCAGGGCAATTGTTGATGCAATCGACGCGGCGATTTCCCCCGTCCCATTTTCCCTCGTCGGGTCTCTCCTCCTTTCCCTCCTGTTCATAGCCGTCGGTTCGGCCGGCCGCGCGCCGTCGCCGCGCTGGCTCGACTCGGACGAGCGGGCGTCAGAGTGAGGAGGGCGACCCGGGGGCTGGAGGAGCACGAGCAGGAGGAGGAACAAGAAAAGGACACGGACCACAACGATGACGTGGTGGCGGCTGTTTCCTCGGCGATGGCGCACGCGCAGGCGCATGCGGCCCATCGCAACTCTGGGTTCACAGAGACCGCGCCGAGAGTGGTTTTGGACAGTTCCGCCAGCGACGTCCTCGCGCCCCCTGGCTCCGAGATGTTGCGCGAGAGATTGTCGAGCCACTGCGGCCATTATATTCCTTCGCGACTTTGGATTCGGAGATGCCGCGCGCGACTTTGTCCAGCCGCGCGACAGTTGCTCTGGCCTGCTTCGCCTCAGTCGCCCTTGCAGCGCTTGGCTCGGAGCTGGCGCGGGCGCGAGTTGGTCGAGCCAGTTCCCCTGACGTGTGCTCGCAGCTTTCCGCGCACGGGGTGGCCCAATCCGCTCAATCAAACAGATGTTCGCCATTTGGATTCGGAGATTCTGCGCGCGAGGTTGTCCAGCCAGTTTCTCTTCATATTGCCTCGTGACGCTGAGTTTAGAGATGCCGCGTGAGAGACTGTCCAGCCTGCTCGGCCTGAGACTCCCTCGCGACTTTGGATTCGGAGGTACCGCGCGCGACTTTGTCCTCGCGCGGGAGTTGCTCTGGCCAGTTTCGCCTCAGACGTCCTCGCTACGCTTGGCTCGGAGCTGGCGCGCGCGAGGTGGTCGCGCCAGTTCCGCCTGATGTATATTCGCAACTTTCCGCGCACAAGGTGGTCCAACCCGCTCAAGCAGACACATCGGCGCCATTCTGGATTCGGGGATGTTGCGCGCGACTTTCCAGTCCGTTTCGCTTGAGACTGCTTTGCGATTATTGGCCCAGAAATGCCGCAGGAGAGGTTGTCCGGCTAGCTTCGCCTGCGACGACGTGACATCTTTATGTTTCGAGGAGCTGCGTGCGAAGGTGTCCGGTTGGGCTCGCCGGGTATATCCTCGCAGCCATGGGCTCCGAGGTATTGCGCACGAGATTCCAGGCAGTTCTGAATGAGACCTCCTCGCAATTCTGCGTTCCGATATGCTCTGACCTGGGGTGGTCTGGCCAGTTTCGCTTCAGATGTTCTCCAAAGCTTGGGCCCAAGGATGCCGCGCGCGATGTTATTTGGCGAGTTTCGCGTGAGACATGTTCGCAGCTGTGGGCTCCGAGATGCCCTGTTGAGGTGTTTCAGGCAGCTTCTCTTGAGATATCCTCGCAACTCTGGACATGAGTATGTGTAGGCGTCTCTCTCTCTCTCTCTCTTTTTTTTCTCTCTCTCTCTCTATCTTTCTCTGCCTCTCTCTTTCTCTTTCTCTGACTTTCTCTTTGTTTTTTCTCTCTCTCTCTCTCTCTCTCTGTCTCTCTCTATATATTTATTTCTCTCTCTCTCTCTCTTTCTCCTCAGCCTTTCTCTCCCGCCTCCACCTCGTGTTCCGTCGTTCCCGCGCCTGCCTTCAGCACATTCTCCCTCGTTGTTCCCTTCTGCACCTCTTCTCCTCCCCCACCTCGTCCGCCTCCCGTGCCACCCGTTGCTCCCCCTCCGCCTCCTTCTCCGCCTCCTTCCTTCGTCCTCCTCGCCTCCTTCCTGCCTCCTCCTCTTCTGCTGCTCCTCCTTCCCCCTCCTCTGCCTCCGTCCTCCTCCGCCTCCGTCCTCCTCCTCCTCCGCCTCCTTCCTCCTCCTCCGGCCCCTTCCTCATTCTTTGAGTTATAGCAACATTAGGTGCGAGCCTGTTGCGTTAATGATGCAGCTGGGAAGAAAGATCGATTCGAGTCAACAAGAACAGCACCTGGCCGGCATCGCGGAAAAAATTAGCCTGACGAAAGACCCAACCATACGTAGTTGTGAATACCGCAATTGTGGATATGTTCTTCGGTGGCGCCCCCGGGCCACGAAACGAGTGAGGGGTGTGCCGAAATGGGGGGGTGGAACCGCATGCGAGCGCAGCCACTGGGGCGCTCGGTGGAGCTCCCTATGGAGCCACGAAACGTGTGAGGGGTGTGCCAGAATGGGGGGTGGAACCGCATGCGGGCGCAGCCACTGGGGCCTTCGGTGGAGCTCCCTATGGGGCCACGAAACGTGTGAGGGGTGTGCCAGAATGGGGGGGTGGAACCGCATGCGGGCGCAGCCACTGGGGCCTTCGGTGGAGCTCCCTATGGGGCCACGAAACGTGTGAGGGGTGTGCCAGAATGGGGGGTGGAACCGCATGCGGGCGCAGCCACTGGGGCCTTCGGTGGAGCTCCTATGGGGCCACGAGAGGTGCATGCCAGGGAATGTGCACAGATTTAGCTAGGGAATCATTCTATGTGCCAGACACCAGAATAGGGGGGTGGAACCGCAATGCGGGCGCGCCACTTGGGCCTTCGGTGGAGCTTCCCTATGGGCACACGAAACGTGTGAGGGGGAGGAGATGTGCCAGAATAGAGGGTGGAACCAGACGCCATTGCGGGCGCACCCCCCACCCCGCGCAGCCACTGGGAGCCTTCGGTGGAGCTCCCTATGGGGCCACGATCCTCGAGAGGGGTGTGCCAAAATGGCCCGAGGCCGCCATGCGAACCCTGCCATTGGGGGCCTTCGGTGGAGCTCCCTATGGGGCCACGATCCTCGTGAGGGGTGTTGCCAGCTCGGGAGGTGGAACCGCTGGGGGCCGCAGGCCACTCGGGCCTTTCGGTGGAGCTCCCTATGGGGGGCCACGAAAGTGTGAGGGTGTGCTTGGGGATCTGTGCCAGAATGGGGGGTGAACGCAAGAGTTCTCGCAGCCACTGGGGCCTTCGGTGGAGCTCCCTAACGGTGAGGGTGTGCCCGCATGGGGCTTCGGTGGAGCGGGGCCACGCGTGTGAGGGGTGTGCCAGAATGGGGGTGGAACCGCATGCGGGCGCAGCCACTGGGGCCTTCGGTGGAGCTCCCTATGGGGCCACGAAACGTGTGAGGGGTGTGCCAGAATGGGGGGTGGAACCGCATGCGGGCGCAGCCACTGGGGCCTTCGGTGGAGCTCCCTATGGGGCCACGAAACGTGTGAGGGGTGTGCCAGAATGGGGGGTGGAACCGCATGCGGGCGCAGCCACTGGGGCCTTCGGTGGAGCTCCCTATGGGGCCACGAAACGTGTGAGGGGTGTGCCAGAATGGGGGGTGGAACCGCATGCGGGCGCAGCCACTGGGGCCTTCGGTGGAGCTCCCTATGGGGCCACGAAACGTGTGAGGGGTGTGCCAGAATGGGGGTGGAACCGCATGCGGGCGCAGCCACTGGGGCCTTCGGTGGAGCTCCCTATGGGGCCACGAAACGTGTGAGGGGTGTGCCAGAATGGGGGGTGGACCGCATGCGGGCGCAGCCACTGGGGCCTTCGGTGGAGCTCCCTATGGGGCCACGAAACGTGTGAGGGGGTGTGCCAGAATGGGGGGTGGAACCGCATGCGGGCGCAGCCACTGGGGCCTTCGGTGGAGCTCCCTATGGGGCCACGAAACGTGTGAGGGGTGTGCCAGAATGGGGGGTGGAACCGCATGCGGGCGCAGCCACTGGGGCCTTCGGTGGAGCTCCTATGGGGCCACGAAACGTGTGAGGGGTATGCCAGAATGGGGGGTGGAACCGCATGCGGGCGCAGCCACTGGGGCCTTCGGTGGAGCTCCCTATGGGGCCACGAAACGTGTGAGGGGTGTGCCAGAAGGGAGGGGGAGGAGAGAGGAGTAAGGAGAGGAGGAGGAAGGAGGAAGGAGGAAGGAGGAAGGAGGAAGGAACGCGGGGACCGTCTCTTCAAAACGAGGACCCAACAACACAGGTTGGTTGGGAATAAGAGAAAGAGCGTGGGAGAAGATTTTTGTTGAGAGTAGGTGTCCACCAGGTGTCACGACATTCACCTGAGTGGAAACGGCATAGTGGATAATAGGAGCCTCAAAGTAAGAAGCCTCAGACTGGTGATGAGCGTCGCCGTGAAAGAAGGCAGTGCAACGCTTGCTGTTCGTAGGGAAGAGACTATGGGTACTCTGCATCTCTGGTGTTGCTGCCCAGGGTTTTGGAGTCCCCCTAACATTAGCGCAAGCTTACCATGCACGATACCCATATCCCTCCCAATAAGAGTCCCCCATCCTCCAAGAGTAGTACTGGGTCCGCTGCCATCAAAGGTAGCGAAATGGCTGCTGTCGGTACCGGGATGCTCAGGCTGGCCTGTAGGGGGGGCTGGCCGCAGGAGTAAACGAGTAGGCACATCTCAACAGTGCCTCCTCAGTGCCTCCTTCCTCCTCCGCCTCCCCGTTCTCTTCCCCCCGCGGCCGTCGGGGCCCCAGGCGCGGCAGGAGCACCCCCCGCGGCAGCGCCCCGAGCGCCAGCGCGCCCCAGCAGCACCCCCCACAGACCGCGCCCCCCTTTGGTGCCGCCATGGCCGCCCGCCGCGCCTCCGCCCTGACGCTCTCCGCCCTGGCCCTCGCGCTGCTCGCCCTGCCCTCCGCCTTCGTGCCCGCGCCGGCCGGGCCCTGCGAGTCCAGGCTCGGTCGGAGCTGAAGACCCAGACATCGGGCGTCTCGAAACAAAAATCGAGACAGAGGTTTTTCATAGTTTTTGGCCTCTCGGGGCCCTCGCTGGGCCTCGGGACCGTCAAAGATTGGCTCGGGATGAAGAACCGGTCCCAGGGAAGTGGTCGGGAGGTCGGGGGCCCGCGTCTCGAACAAAATCGAGACGTCGGATGTCTGGGGAGACGGGGGGTCAGCCAGGGCCACTGGGGCACTGGATCCTGCAGGATCCTGCGAAGACCCCCTCTGGCGGACCTGGGTCAGCGAGCCGCTCGTGGCCGCGGGGCGGCCGCGCACGTTGGCGAAGCCCTGCGCTGCAGTTTCTCTCTTGCACTTCAGCTGTTTGGTTTCCTGCGGACGCGGGTCTGATCGACCTGGGTTAGGAAATCCCCGACTCAGTGGCAGCCTTCCTCGAGGTTTCCTCGATGGGGTCGGAGTGGATGAGGTCGGATCGGGGGCCACAAGCGAACCCTACCCCTACCCCCCACGATTTTTGAGGGGGAGGGTGGGGTTCACTTCGCTCGGGAGCTCCCGAACGAAGTGAACCCCACCCTCCCCCTCAGAAATCGTGGGGGGTAGGGGGTAGGGTTCGCTTGTGGCCCCCCATCGGAGCACGGCGCCGCAACGCCGATGCATCGGCGATGCCTCAGCGATGCGGCCCGACGTGCGCCCCGAGTCTCTCCGCGCCGACGTCGCCGATGCAGCGCCGACGTCGCCAGGGCGTGGCCGCTGCACCGCCTTCGCGCCCGCCGGCCGGGCCAGCGGCGCAACGACGACGACGACGACGACGACGACGACGACGACGACGACGACGACGACGAAAAACGACGACGACGACGACGAAAAACGACGACGACAACGCACGACGACGACGGACGACGACGTCGTGCCCGCGCCGGCCGGGCCCTGCGGGTCCACGCTCCGCGGCAACGTTCAGGGGGGGGGGGGCGCATCAGGGATCCAGTCGTGTCGTTCTAAAACGACGCGAAGATCGGGACAACATCGGATCGGGATAACTCGAAATCTCTGAGAATCGGCGGGTTTGGAGGATGTATTGGGCGCCGCGGCCGCTCCAGAGCGTTCTGGAACGCTCTGAGAGCGCTCCGGAACGCTCTGGAGCGATTGATCCCGATCCTAGCCCTGTTTTACGTTCCCGAGCCGAGTTCGCAGTCATGAGCTTTCGGGCGGTGCTCAAGCCAGGCATGCGGAGCTACAGACAAGAATGCACACAGTCTGGCGCACAGCGCTGGGGCGCTTGATGGCGAAGGCGACGACACATCAACAACAGCATCGCATTTGTTCGCGTCTACGTCACGTTCGCGTCGTAGTGTGATCCCGCTTCTCGTCTGAGGGGGGGGACCAGGCTCTGAGGGAGGGGGGGGGGGGGGGGGCGCATCGGACCCCACTCGGCCACCCCTCGCCGGCAGGGGCCCGACAGCCCGACCCGCCGAGCGGTTTCGCCATCGGCGGCCTCTCGCCGATCTATCGACGATGTATCGCCGATGCCAGCTCGATGTTCTCCCTCCTCCACCCTCCCCAAGCCAGCCCCCCCCCCTCTCCCAATGTTCCAATGGCATCCCATGCCAAGAGACACCCTGCTCGCCTCCAGTGTGCCCTGGGTCTCTTGGGTCTCGAGTGTGCTGCCTTGGCAAGCGTGACGCCCCCACACCAAAAATCAATGGACGTCCTGGGGTCTCAGGGTTGGGTCTCTTGTGGCAGGTTTCTCGTGGACTGGCCTCCGCTGTACTCCTCGCAGGCGCGGCGCCCTCGCCCTAGGCACCTTCGGGGCCGCGGCCTCCTCGGGGGTGCTGCCCGCGGCGGCGGAGAAGTCGAAGGACCACGGAGGGCAACCTTGGCAGGGCTGATTTCGATCCCTCCGAGTCGATTCGATTCGATTTCGATGACTTCCGATTCCAATTCGATCCGATTTCGGATTCCGATTTTGGCTCAGATCTTCTAACGAGGGCCTACTAGGCTGCCGATTTCCGCCGACTCGACTTTTCCCGACTCGGCTGCCGATTTCCGCCGATCCGAGCCATTTCGATCGCCGATCCGACTTGTCGATTCGATTCTGGGCTCTCCTGCCTTGGGGTCCCCCCGCCGGCCTCGAAGCCCGGGAGGTTTTCGGGCGTCCTCATCGGCTCCCGTCGGTCTTCCAGCCTCGGGGTGCCTTCCAGCGGCGGCGCCTCTCCGAGGGCGCTCCAGGGGTGGAGTTGTGGCCCGGCGGCCAGGGGGGCAGCATCTGGGGGCAATGCCAGGAGGGAATAGGAACGGGGAGGAGGAGAAGAAGGAGGAGGAGAAGAAGGAGGAGGAGGAGGGGGAGGAGGAGGAGGAGGAGGGGTGGGAGGAGGGGAGGAGAGGAGGAGGAGGAGGAGGAGGAGGAGGAGGAGGAGGAGGAGGAGGAGGAGGAGGAGGAGGAGGAGGAGGAGGAGGGGAGGAGGAGGAGGAGGAGGGAGGAGGAGGAGGAGGAGGAGGAGGAGGGAAGGCGGAGGAGGAGGAGGAGGAAGGAGGAGGCGGAGGATGCGGGGGAGGATGGCGGAGGAGGAGGAGGAGGAGGAGGAGGAGGAGGCGGGGAGGAGGAGCGGAGGAGGAGGGGGATCGGAGGACGGGAGAAGGAGGGGAGGAGGAGGATAGGAGGGGGAGGGAGGAGGAGGAGGAGAGGAGGAGGAGGAGGAGGAAAGGAGGAGGAGGAGGGGAGGAGGAGGAGGAGGGAGGAGGAAGAGGAGGAGGAGGAGGGAGGGGGCGGCCAAGAAGGTGGTGCTGACTAGGGGGGATAATCATGGCGGGGCCAGGAGATCTCCTCAGATTTCGTGGCGCCCCTTCTCATTTCCTTGCGTATCCCCCCCCTTTTGGGCCGCGCTCCTGCCGCTGCCGCTATGCGTGGCGCGCCCCCCCCCCCTCAAACGCTCCCCTCCTGGCCGCCCCCGAGGAGGGCAACGTCGGGAGGCGCCCCCCTCTTGGCCGCCCCCCTCTTTGGCCCCCCCTCTAGGCCGCCCCCGAGGGGCGCATGGACAGGCGGTGGCCCGCGCCTCGCCGACCCCGGGGGCCGACGGCCCGCCCCCCGCCCGGGGAGCGCGCGGCTCTGCTTCACGGTTTTAAGTCGGGCGTGTCCCCCTACAGGGGGAGCTTCGACGACAAAGAAAAGATACCCCAAACATAGCCAAACAAATCATCAAACAATAGTCTGGGGACTATTGTTTGAGTATGTTTTGACCTTCTTGGGGTATAGGGGGACACGCCCGACATAACTTTACGGGCCCTATCGCCGATCCAGCGGAGATGTATCGCCGATGCCAGGTTGATGTTCCCCGTCTGCGCCAGTCGGTTCCCAACGTTCCGCCTCGACTCCTGCATGGGACGTCTGAGGGCGCCATTTCGCCGCGGGGCCCCCCGCAGAACACTGGGCGGCGCCCGGGAGGCGCGCAGGCGTTGGGGCGTTCGGCGCCGGCGGAGGCGCGTCGTCCGCCGACGTCCGAACGTTTCTGTTCGTCCGCGTGGTGGAGCGCTCTCCCAGGACTACTTCATCCTGCCAGAGCTCCCTGGCCCTTTCGAGGTGGATCCCAAGGAGGCCATCATCGTCGGCGATGCGGAAGCCCCACAGGCGAAGCAGGCCAGGGCCAAGGTTGAGTCGTTGTTGAAGGAGGCGGAGACCATTCTCGCCAAGCTCGAAGAAGACCCACAGGCGGACGTCAGCTTCGCAGTCCAAGAGTTTGGCATCGCGGACCTGCGCGTTGCGACGAACACCATAAATAATCTGATGGACGAGGCTACCGCGGCGGGCACGCAGCGGCTGCAGCGCCTGATGATCCACAACAAGTACCTCTACGAGGAGGGGCCTCATGTCACGCAGGGGTTCGATGGTCGATGATGGTCGCGCCTCGTTGTCTGGGCCGCAGGGTCGAGGTCGCACATGCGAGCGATCTCCGTTCGTGAAGCGCGAGGCCAGAGATGAGGCGAGCCAGCTCTTCTTCCCCTCTGCTACAACTCTCTTCGCCCCCCCCCCCTCCTCACCCTCTTCCCGCTCCCCCTCCCTCATATTCTTTCCTCCTCCTCCTCCTCCTCCTCCTGGGCCTCCTCCTTGCCCTTCCCTCCTCACTCACCCTCCCCCGTCTCATTATCTTCCGCCCTTCTCCTCCTCTTCCTCCTCCTCATCCTCCTCCTCCTCTTTGCTCCTCCCCCCCCCTCCTCTCCCTCACCTCATGAACCTTGGCAGCCCCCAGTGGGGTCGCTCCTTGCGCAGCAGGGCGAGCGTTTGAGAGTCTGGACGCGAGCCTCGCAGCTGTGTCGCGCTGTCTCTCCTGGTGGCGCCCGGCCCCCTACCCTCGGGCACTGTGTGTCAGGGCTGCGACGTGCTTGTGTGCGCGTGTGTGCTGTAAGGACCAAGGCGTTCCTTTTCCTGTGCAAGCTCCTCGGCACCGCCTGCACCCCGGCCCGCCCTCCGGCCGCCTGAGGCCCCGCCCGCCTGTGCTCTGTCTCCCCAATTAGAGCTGTGCGTGGCCCGCCTAGCTTTTAACCGGATGAGGTTCGCTCTCGCCCCGCAGACCAAAAAATTGTGTGTTGTAAGGCCGTTCTTCTCATCCCCCCCAGCGACCGCCCGCTCTGCCCTCTTCCCGCTCTTGCATGCTGGCCAATGCGCTGTTCGATGCCCCCGTCCAGCTCTATCGCTGGTGCAGACAACTCTGCCTCGCCGCCGACGGAAAACGTATGTCTTGTAAGGACCTCGATCTATGATTCGGCGGCGAGCCTAGGGGGGGAAGTGAGAGGGGGCAGGCCGTTTTTCCAAAGGTGGCGAGACGGGAAGACTCACAAGCTTTCGTGCAGTGTGAGAAGCCGTCTGCGGCTTCGAAGAAGGGGTGCAAGGCTTATCAGAAAGCGCGAGGGCTTCTGAGAAACCCCGCTACCTTTTCAGAAGGCCTGACACCTCTAACTTGCCCCTTGCGCTCGTCGCCGACCTGCTCTCTCTCTCTCTCTGTCTCTCTCTCTCTCTCTATCTCTCTCTCCCTCTCTCTCTCTCTCTTTCTTTCTCTCTCTCTCTCTCTCTCTCTCTCTATGTTCCCCGAGCAAAGCTTGCCTCTGTAGGGATCATCGCGGATTCATATAGTTAGGTTAGGTTAGTCGCCGATTTTCGCTGCACGCGCGGGTGCCGGGGTGCCCGGGGGTGCCCGGGCCAGGGTGCCCGGGGGGGGCTCGGGGGGGCCCGGGGGCCCGTGGGCCCGGGCGTGCCCGGGGGTGCCCAGGGGTGCCCTATAGCCCAATCGCCCTATAGCCGTATAGCCCTACAACTCTATAGCCATGTAGCTCTGTAGCCCTATAGCTCAATAGCCCTATAGCCCTATAGCACCCTTGCCCTATAGCCCTGTTGGGGTTTTTCTCCTGTATCATATATATATATATATATATATATGTGTATATATATATATATGTATATGACACTGCGCGGCCCGTCTCCTCACCTGCTTCACTCACGATCGCCATCCTCGGCGCAGGTTGGAGATTCGCTACGGCGTTTCCCGCCTCGGTTCTGGACGCGACTGTGGTGCCACATCGGCAGGGGAGGAAAAAGACGTGTGAGAAGGATTCTGTGTCTGCCGCAGAATTCCAGACTCGGCGGGCTAGGCGGGCGCGGCTCGCAGCTCTCGCTCCCGAGCGGAGGCTCATTCTGCGCTGTCGTGGCCGATGTCTCTGGGTGTTTGTCCTCCCTCCTCGTCAGGAGCCTGTCGGGGAGTGAGAGAGGTCCATCTCTGGACGGCGGCGTTGCCGCCAGCCGTCGTGCAACCGCAGCCTTCTTCTCCTCTTCTCCTCCACCCCCTGTCACCCCCCACTCCCTCCCTCCCTCTGCCTCCCTCCACCCACCCTCCTCCATGCTCGCTCGTCCTCTCCCTTCTCCTCCTCCTCCTCCTCCTCCTTCTACTCCTGCTCCTCCTCTTCCTTCGTCTGCTGCTGCTCCTCCTCCTCCTCCTCTCTCCTCCTCCCCTCCTCCTTATCCTCCTCCTCCTCCTCCTCCTCCCCTCCTCCTCCTCCTCCTCCTCCTCCTCCTTCCCCCTCCTCCTCCTCCTCCTCCTCCTCCTCCTCCTCCTCCTCCTCCTCCTCCTCCTCCTGTCCCTTATCTGGCTCACCCTCCTGCCTCCGCATCCTCCTCCTTCTCCACCTCGCGAAGGACGAGATTCCCTTCCCGGTCTCCAAGAAGGGTGTCGTGCAGAAGCGCGGTCCCGCGCGCCTGGCCCGCATACAGGCCAGCCTGAAGAAGTACGCCGAGTACTCGAGAGAGCTCCTGCAGTTCCTGTGAGCGTGGGGGGAGGACGAGGAGGGGAGCGCGGAGGAAGGTCCGCGCTGTGTGATCTGTTTGAGGGGCTTCGGGGAGGCTCCTCATTACCCTGGGCGAGGCTCGAAACACCGGTGAGGATGTCCGGGAAGGGTCCGCGGGCATTGATTCTCAGCGAATCCAGTTGGGCCGACTCAGGCCGCAGGGTGTTGAGCAAAAATGGCCGACGGGCGCTTTTGTTGTTTCATGTCTCGGGGATTGGGTGATAGTGTCGGGCTGCGTGGCTATCAAGAAACGGCTCGCGATGAAGCCACATGTTCGGTGCATGGCGTCGAGAGCTCTGGGATCCAACATCGTCGAACCGTGACCCGCAGAAAAAAAACAACGACGTCGCCTGAAGAGGCACCGCCGTCACATCAAATGAGACATGTTCCTACCAGCGGGTGCCCCGCGGAAGTTCTATCACTATCAGTCGCCTTGGACACCCCAAATAACATCTTGGAGCATTTTCGGATTCACGACTTTGAGAGGTGGAGAAACATACGTCCCAAGGTGTATTCGCACATCGAGTAGCTACGAATGCCTCTTGTGGTTGAGGGTGACGAGGAGTATTCGATCAAGTAGCGCTCGAAGAATCTACCATTGTTCCTGCGAGCGGAGGGCACAAGGTCCAGGCGCTTGTGCCAGATTTTCGGTCTTCAGACCAAGTGGGCGTCCTGCACTTTCGGTCCACGTGCCTGCGGGTCCTCCATCTCTCATGATCTTGCTCCTCCTCATCATTACTACTACCGGTTGCTCTTCGCGTTGTCCTCTTATTTCTCCCTCTCGCTTTCTCTCTCTCTCTCTCTCTCTCTCTCTCTCCCTCTCTATATCTCTCTTTCCCTTCCTGTCATAGTGTCGCTCTCTCTCTCTCTCTCTCTCTTTGTTCCTCCTGCATGTTTGCGTTCACCCATTTACCCTGTTCCTTGTCCGCCTCCTCTCAGTCTTCCCCAATCCTCTTCTCCACTCGGTCCATCATCCCCCCCGCCCGCCTTCACTTGCTTCCTCCCTCCCCTCATGATCGTGATATCGGTCTCTCGATCTCTCTGCGTCGCTCTCTCTCTCTAAATATATGTCTATATATATATATATAGATGTATCTCCTCTTATCTCGCCCTCTCTCTCTCTCGCTTTAACTTGCTTTATCCCATTTTCGCTCTTTCTCTCCCTGTCCCTCTCTCTCTCTCTCTCTCTCGCGTTGTTCATTCGTATCGGTTTCTCTCGCATGCGTTGCTCTCTTGCTATATCTGGTACTCTCTCTCTCTCACTCATACTGGCTCGCTTTCTCTCGCTCTCTCTCTCTCTCTCGTTATCCTGCCCTCTCCTCTCCTGTCGTGTCCCCTCTCTATCGCTCTCTCTCTCTCTCTCGCTCTCTCTCTTTCTCTCGCTCTGTTTCGTTTTCCTTTTCTGCGCCCGTGGGCCTACGTGGGATCCGTGTCGCTGGCGGCACCCATGCCGCGGCGTATCCAGGAGTGCGTGTTTTCGGTCGGCAGCAGCGGCATTTCGCCAGTCGCACAGGTGCTTGCTGTCCCTTCGCAGGCAGAGAAAAGACGAGTTCGGCACGCTTTCGTCCATCCACCCCTGCTTCTCAGGTCTCCGTCCCTTCCCCCTAGCCCCTGGTCAGGCGTCTTTCTCCGTCGTTCTTGTGCGTCTTTCTCCGTCGTTCTTGTCATGTGTTCCCCATCGTCATCATGTCCTTCTTTGTCGTGTTCCCGCAGATCAGCCTTCCTCATCTTCCTCCTCCTCTTCCCGCCACATTGTTCTGGACTCCTGATACTCGCTGCCGCTCGTTTCCAGTTGCTCATCTCCTGTTACCGTTGCCGTCGCCGTTTGCGGTGACGATTGTCCATACGTTAGCACCGCGGGTCAGCGTCAGTCGAGCGGAACATAATCACATATGAGTTCAGGCCCTTATATCCTACGTTAATGTTCGGTCGAGTCAGAGTGAGGGGGCCGAACGTTCATTCTTTGTTCCCGGGTGAGTGGCTGAACTGGGGATCCGCGGGGAGGATTCTGCTTGTTGCTGTTGTTGTCGTCGTCGTCCCCCCCCCCCCGACCCGCCCGCGACCCACCCGCGACCCACCCCGCGACCCACACCACGACGCACCCCGCGACCCACCCCGCGACCCACCCCGCGACCCACCCCGCGACCCACCCCGTGACCCGCCCGTGACCCACCCGCGACCCAGCCCGCGAGGACGAGCGGGTGCAGGAGCAGGAGCAAGAAAGGGAGACTAATGAGGACGAGGAAGGGGCGACTACGAGGAGGAGGAGGCGGAGGAGGACGCAAGAGATGGCTGGCGGCGGCAGTGGCGTGCATGCGAGCTCACTGCTCGGAGCAGGCTCTGGCCCTGGAAGGCGCCCCGCACGAAGCCAGCGGCGCGCATGGCCGACGAGCCCTGCGGTGGCTGCCGCAAAGGCCCCCTTGTCCGGAGTCTCCGAGCGGATTGCCGCGATGGCCACGGCAGTCCCAGGTGTGCTACCGAGGTGGTGATCTGCGTGGCCCTCTGGCTGGGTGCTCACCGCCTCGGGAAGGAGGGGAGTCCGGGAGCGGCAGAAGGACGCAAACCTGCGTGAATCCACGTTGGTTTCGAGAGTACGCGTTGCCCGAGTGTTCGTATCACGCGGCCAGCCTCGCGGATCGAGGGGCCGTGTTCACGTACACAGCTGGGCGCGCACGTCCTTTGTGGGCTTCCTGGGGAGCACGCAACACTTACAACCCCTCGCCGTGCAGGGCGAGCGCTCCCCCCCAATCGTCGTCCTTCCCCTCAGCTGCATCTTTCCCAGTCTTCTTCTTCTCCTCCTCCTCCTCCTCCTCCTCCTCCTCCTCCTCCTCCTCCTCCTCTTCTCCTGCTCTCTCCCTCCTCCTCTCCTTCTCCTCCTTCTCCTCCTCCTCCTCCTCCTCCTTCTCCGTCTCCTTCTCCTTCTGCTCTCGCCGTCTACCTCATACCCCCTTGTTTCCTTTGCACACATGATCATTCATCCTCCTCCCCCTGTCTTCCCTCCCCTTCCTTCACCCACATGATCCCCCCCCTCGCAGTCCTTGCCCCTCCGCGTGAGCGAAGCCCTTCTTCCCCTCGCCCCTCCCCCTCTCCGCCCCTGCCCGCGAAGCCCCCCGCGCGCGCACCGCGGCCCAGAGGTGACGCTGATGTGCACGGGCAACCGGAGGAGGGGCCATGAAGGGATGGCTTTGCTCCATCTCTGTTACTCCTCCCTCCCTCCTGGGGGTACAGGAGGAGGAGCAGCAGGAGCAGGAGCAGGAAGAGGAGAGGGAGGAGGAAGACGAGAGAAGGAAGACAGAAGGAGGTGGGGAGGAGGATGGGGGGGGTCGGTGGAATGGATGGGCAAGGGGAGGATGGGGGAGGATGGGGAAGGAAGAAAGGGCGAAGGCTTTGCATGGGTGTCCCCATGTCTTTCCTTTGCTCTCCCTGCCTACCCCCCCTGGAGAGGAGGTTTCCACGGACGTCGTAGGTGACTGGCGGCCTCCAGAGGGCATCATTGGTTTCTCATTTCAGTTGTCATGGATTGTGTATGTTTTCTCAGGGTAAAAGGGGAGAAGGAGGATGATAGGGAGGTCGCGGAGGACGTGGAGGTGGACAACGAGGAACAAAGGGCAGGAGGAGGAGGAGGAGCAGGAGGAGGAGAAGGGACAGGAGAAGGACGGGGAGGAAAAAGACGACGACAGGGTAGTCCTATTCGTCATCTCGGCACTTGCCCATCATGTTTCTGCTGTTTTCCGATGGACATGATGGAAGTGTAGGGCTGGTTATCATATTATTATGTAGAGCGCACGCAGCAACAATGGTTGGAGAAGGAATGGGGACATTCGGAGAAGGAGGAGAAGGAGGAGGTGCTCCGGGCAGCAGAAGGTGGTAGGGGCGATGACCTCCCGTGCCGAGATTGCCTGGGGACGGCCTGTCTTCATCCCCATCCCTCCCTTCGTTCTTCTGAGTTCCCCCGCCGTCCCCCTCATCCATGTGGAGACGAGGAGGGGGGCGAGGTGGAGGGGGGAGGAAGAGGTCGGTTTCACTGCTGGCGCTGGTGGTCACAGCGGGGCTACTCCCCCTGTTGGCCCTTCTCCTCCTCATCCTGCATGGCGCCGTTTCCCGTTCCGAAGGGTCGTCAGGACTGTCTCGGCAGAATCTCATGTGATTTTTTCCCCCAGAGGTTGAATTGGAGAGCGGAAGTGGCTGTGGACAGCTGTCAAGGCGGTAATCCTGGTAGTCCTCATCCTGCATGGCCTTGCTTCCCCTGCGCCTTCAAAGTCCAACCCTGGAGCCTGCTCCAGAGCGCGTTCTGACCTGGACCTCGGGCTGGGCCTGGCCGTGCCGAGGGGCCCCGCGGCGCCAGAGGGGCCCCGCGGCGCAGACGGGGCGTCCCCCGCTTTTGTGCAGTACCGTTCTCTTCGTCCTCGTCATCCGTTGCCTGCTTCCCACCAAGGCGCGTGCCGGAGGAGGAGAATGCGAGGAGGAGGAGGAGGACGACGACGACGAGAGAAATTCCTTCGCCTCCGTGGAACTCCTCCGCCATGCTCCTGCGCCTGTCCCGTCCTCCTCAGTCCGACTTCCCCTGTTCCGCCTGCTCAGTCCTCTCCAGTCCGACTTCGCACTCATCCGCGTCCTCCTCCCTTGTCTCAGGCGATCGCAAGCATGGATCAAGGGGGCGTGGATCAGCGACGGGTCCGGTTTCCGTGCGAAGTGTCGGATTTCCGTCGCCGACGCAGTTTGGGGAGGGCAGATCCCGCGATCCATGGATTTGGCGAGGGCGCGCCAGATCCATGGATCGCTAATCCATGTTTGCGCGCCCCCGAGAGGAGGAGGAGGAGGAGGAGGAGGAGGAGGAGGAGGAGGAGGAGGAGGAGGAGGAGGAGGTGGAGGTGGAGGAGTGGAGGTTGAGGAGGAGGAGGAGGAGGAGGAGGAGGAGGAGGAGGAGGAGGATCGTCGCGCGCGCGCCCCCGACTTGTCCCCGCTCCGTCCGCCTCTTTCTGGTCGGCCGCTACGCAGCCGCGGCGCGGCTCGGGGCAAACTGGGCGCGCCCCCGCCCGCATGGCCGCACGGGGGCGCCCTGCGGCGCGAGGGCGGTGGAGGCCGCGCACCTGCCAAGGGGGTCTTCCGCCACCTGCTCCCAACCAGGGGGGCGGAGGGCAGTGCCATTCTTCTTTCTCTTCTCTCCTCCTCCTCCTCCTCCTCCTCCTCCTCGCTCCTCCTCCTCCTCTCCTCCTCCTCCTCCTCCTCCTCCTCCTCCTCCTCCTCCTCCTCCTCCTCCTCCTCCTCCTCCTCCTCCTCCTCCTCCTCCCTCCTCCCTCCTCCCTCCTCCTCCTCCTCCTCCCTCCATATTTCCCTCCTCGGTTTGGCTCAAGCGTTCGCATGGCCTCGCCCGCGCGCGCCCCCTTCTCGGCGAATCGCAGTTGCGGGATCTCGGGGCCTAGAGGGGCTCAGTCGCTCGTCCGGGCCGCGGTCGCCGCCGGGGCGCCGCGGCGCACAGTCGCCGCCGTCGCGAGGTCGGCTGTCTTCGCCACGCTCTTCGCGTGCGGGGATGTGCCGACGGCGGCGGCCGCGCCTGGCGCTGCTGCTGCCCACGACGCCCACGCGCCACCTGCTGTCCGCCCGCCGTTTCTGCGGCCAAGGCGGGGCGGCGGAGGAGCAGACGCCGCCGCCTCGCAGAACGGCGTGCCGCGGAGGCGCTCTCTGTTGCTGGCCCAGCGGCCGCGGGCGCTGGAGCGGGCCGCGGGGTTGCTGCTGGCGGGGGCCTGTCGCTGGCGCGTCGGCCCGTGCCTGCGGCGGGCGTCGCGCGCCGTCGGCTGCGCGGACGGGAGCCCGACACCCTGGCGGAGGCGTGCGCTGGTGCTGCTGGTGCGGCTGCCGCGGGCCCGCCCGCGGCGTCCCGCGGCTGGCGGGGGCCCGCCTGCGGCTGCCTCAGCGAAACTCGCCATCGCTCAGGGCGTGCGCGTGCAGGCTCTGCGAGTCCTGGGGCCCTGGGGGAGTCCTGCCCCTCCTGCTCTCGTTCGGCCTCTCCCTCTGCAGCCGCTGCTCCTCCTCCTCCTCCTCCTCCTCCTCCTCCTCCTCCTCCTCCTGCCGTTCCTGCCTTCGGGGAGCTGGAGCCGCTGCTCCCTCCTCGCGGTGCTAGCAGTGCTCCGCGTGCACCCCCGCCTGATCGGGTGGCCCAGGGCCGCTTGTGTCCCGCCCTGGCCACCCGCTGGCCATTGGAGGGCGCTGAGCCGAGCTAAACATACATCCTCCCCTCCTGCTCCCCCTTCCCCCTCCTCTCTCCCCAGGGAACGGAGGCGAGGAGGAGGATATGGATGAGGAAGAGAGGAGGGGGAGGAGGAGGAGGATGAGGAAGAGGAGGAAGGGACCAGAGTATACCCAAGATCCATCAACGATTTTGGAATAAACCCTCCCTCCAAGCTCCCTCTCCATAGGCCCCTACACGGATCATCTCCACTGAAGGAAGAGCCCCGTTGGGAGACAACCGTTTGAAGATCCTGAAGAGCTTCCTGGCTCCGTGACGAACTCCTGTCGTCAGCGCGGCTCTGCTACGCGCCCCCCTTCCGCGGAGTTCGTTCGCACCCTCTTCTTGCGGCGGCAGGTCGGGGGGGAAGAAGGAAAGGAAGAAGGATTACAGGCGGGGGGCATGGCGACGGTGGTGACGAAGACGAGGGGGTTCAAGCAGGATTCGAAAAGGAATTCTCGGGATTATTAGGGTGAGAGAGGAGTCTTGCAGGAGGAGCAGGAGGAGGAGGAGGAGGAGGAGGAAAACGAGGAGGTGGAGGAGGAGGCGGAACATCCCGGGAGAAGGAGAACGGAGGAGGGGGAGCAGGAGAGGATTCAGGACATTGATTGGGGGCAGGACGAGGAGGAATCGTGGTTGGGACTTGGGCCGCTTCACGATGCTGAATTCAACGCTCGTGATATTCGAGTCGGGGGACAGACGTCCAGATGAGTGCGACGGCGTTTGCACTGCGAGCGGAGCTTCCGCGCGCGAAGCACGGAGCTCGGCGGTCCAGTCTTGCTGGGCTGGCGTGGACGACGCCGTGCGCGAGCGAACGCCACCGCCAGCAGTTTCCGAAGCTTTTGAGCACACACGTCCGCCCTGTCTCCTCGCCCGTTCCGCCTGATCTGTCTTTTTCCTTTCGTGGAGCTGCCTCGGCCAATGCCGCGCGCCAGCTCCACGCGGAGCCCTTCGTACCCCTCAGCCCTTGGCGGTTGGCGCCATGCTGCAAGAAGAGCGGCAGGAGCCGCCCTGGCGGCACGTACCTGGGGCAAGCGACCATGCGCACAAGCTACTGCTCCAGCATTGCCGATTGCGAGTGCATCTGCGTCCTTGCGATGCCGGTGATCGAGAACACAGCTTCTCGTGAAGGCCGTGGTGTCATCTTGTGTTGTGTCGATGGGCAGCAGTGTTGAGCCTTATCGTGCATCAGTTCAGCATGCGAACGACACGCAGTCGGAATGGTCAACGGCATCTCGGCGGCGAGGCTGAGCAATCAGAGCTGGACATGGCCGCAACATGTTGGCACCCTAGATTGTACCATTCTCACCTTCAAGGTGTGCGAACCGCTCCTCGCTGAGATCTTCTTTCCGTTTTCGTATCAGAATTGCAAATTTTTTGCTATCGTCAAACTCTTGGTCCTCCCCCGCTTCTTCTTCTCCCCCTGCTCATCTTTCGTCCTGGAATTCATCATCATCCGTTCTTGGAAGCCCTTCCCACTTTCCGAGGCATACGCCACTCCTCTTGTTTCTCTTCCATGTTCTTTGGTCGTGTCCCGTCCTCCTCCGTCATCCGCCGTCGGTCCTTGTCCTTTTTGTTCCTCTTTTGTACCTACCTCCTGACTGTCCTCCTCTCCCCACTCGTCCACCCAGGGTCATGATTCGTCTTATGCATCCACATCCGCCTGTCTCTTCTGGGTCACATGATCCTGATTCTCTTTCTCCTCAGTGCACCTTCCTCTCATCTTCATTGGACCAAGCATCCCCGCGTTCCCCTCCGCATCCCCCTTCAATCCCTGCTCATGCGTCTCCAGTCCTTCCCACTTCTTTTACTTGTCCTGCCCATCTTGCTTCATATCATCCCATCCGTTCCTTCCCCTTCCTCAGGCTGTTCCTCTCCCCCATTCCTGCACATCCATGTGTTTCTCATATTGCTCAATCTCTCTCTCTCTCTGTCTCTCGCTCTCCCTCTTTCTATATATCTCTCTCTCTTTCTCTCTCTTCCTCTCTTTCTCTCTCTTTCCCTCTCTCTCTTTCTCCTGTCAATGTTTCCCTTTCTCTCTTTCTCTCTGTCGTCTTGGCCCGAGTTCCAGCAGGAACAGGGCGTGGCCCCGACACGAGACTGCCGGCGCCTTCCTGCCCGGTGAGACCGTAACCGGGGCAATTGCCCCGGGACCGATTCGTGTCACCTTTCCCCGCCAAAAAAAGAGAAAACATCCGTCGAGCTTTCTCGAGCCAACTAGCCCGCCAGCGCGCCAGAATTACTTCTAGCTTCGCCGCTTCGCTCGCAGGGAAGTTCTACGAGTCATTCTGAGCAATATTTCGCGTGTCGAGAGCTCGACGAGGGCCCCGGGGGTCTTTTTCCCTCCGCGGCAATGGCCTGCGCCGCCGCCCCGGTGCTCGCACCGCGCGTGGTGACCCCGTCACGGTCCATCTCCTCAGCTGCGAGCCGGGCCAGACCCTTTGAGTTATGTCGGGCCTGTCCCCCTACAGGGGGATTTTCGACGAAAAATAAAAACTTACCCCAAAAAGGTCAAACAAAAAATGCCCCCCAAACAGTCCCCAGACTATTTTTTGATCATGTTTTGATTATTTGTGGGGTATGTTTTATTTTTCATCGAAAATCCCCCTGTAGGGGGACATGCCCGGCTTAAGCTTACATTCGGTACGGCCACCTCAGCCACGTTTTGAGCAACAGCAGCATACTGTTCATCACGATGACTACATATCCTGCACCCCCATCCCGGATGAGCATGCCCTTCCTGCCCCATCCCATGCATTGGAGCGCCATTCAAGATCTCCGAGATACCGCACAACGTCTCCGGAATGAGCTGCACGCGGTACGTGCTCTTGCTCATCCATTAGGCCACCGTGCCGCTGCAGCGGCCAGCTGGACCCCGAAGATCAACAGCAGCAGCCCGTTGCACCTGATTTTCAGCGTTTTGCCGCGTTTCCACAACACCCTCGGCTACGCCGACACGGCCGCCGTCGGCATCCAAGTTGGCATCGGCAAGCTCTGCGCGTGCTTAGCCGCGATCCCCGCGATCCTCGGCCGCCCGTCTTGCTCCGTCGGCAAGGCCTCGCTCTCCGCGGTCTTCCGGGTCCCGGGCCTCGTCTCTCGGGTTCCAGGGCCTCGCCTTGGCCGCCGCGCCATCTCGGTGGCCGGCCGGGCCTTCCTGTTCGTCGACGGCATCCTATTGAACATCGGGAGCGCCCTCGGCATCATAGGCACGGCGGGCCTTGCCCTCCCCAAGCGGGCCGCGCCCGCCCTGCAGGTGGTCTTCATGCAGTTCGTCGCTCTCGTCTTCCACGGCGCGAGCCCGCCCTCCACGGCAGGCCCTGCGATCGCAGCCCAGGGCGAGCAGCACGCACTCCCAGGCCGTGCGCCCACGGCCCACGGCCCGCACGCTGCCCGCCCGCCGCGCGCTCGCGGGCCACGGCCCGGGGTCCGTCCACGATGCGCGCACTCACTGCGCGCGCCACCTGGGCCACGACGCAGCCGTCGACGCCTGCGCCCGCGCCGCAAAACCGCCGCCTAGCCACCCGGGCCCCGCCTCCCGCTGCGAGCGCGAGGCACGCGCACCAAGGCGCGCCACGCACCGCCCCAGGGGGCCCCTGGGGCGACCCTGCCCTCACGGCCCTTGCCGACCCGAATCTCAAGGTTCCAGTTGGCACGGGGGTCGCTGTCCAGGGCCAGGATTGCCACCCAATCAACGGTCCTCTTGGCGTCGTCCGGGGCCGTCCCGGCGACGCAAACCAATGCCGGATCGTCATGCTTACCAACTGGTGCACCGCACACCTGCTCCCCACCAGTCTGATCGTCGCCGACCCAGCGCCATGCACCGAGGTTCCGCCCCTCGGCACGCGCACTCCCCCCGAGGCTCCCGCCCAGTTGGCCTCTCTCACCCACTCCCCCCCGCCTTTTTTGCACGTGGCGCGGCAGAGGAAGCGCGCCGAGGTCGGAGGAGGCGGGGGCGACAATCGCGACCACCAGGCCAAACATGCGCCTTGTGGCTACGCCGCTGGCGCACCGATCGCAGTCGCGCGTCCAGCTGACGGGGCCACAGGCGACCACACCTCCGAACACCAATCGAGCGCTGAGTTGAAAAGTTCGTGCAGAACGAGAACGACGGCCTTCACACTACCACATATCACCTGGTCCAAGCGTGCGCCCTCGTCTCGCAGCTCCAGCACTGGATAGCTGGCTGCGGCGGCCCGGCCTGGGACCTGATCCTGATGGACCCAGCGACGGTGGGTCGTTACCTGGCCAAGCACGGCCAGTTCATGTATGACACAATTATGGGGAGCTGTCACGATTTCGACGAGACGATCAACGCGGTAATGGCTGCCAATCGAGCCCTCCGACACTGGCTCGACGCGGCCTGGGACATCTCTTTCACTTGGGAGCATATCGCGCCGGGCTCGAACCACCAGGCTATGCCAGAGGCGCTGCTGCTCGCGTCCGTGAGCTTGGCGCTGGCCTGGGGTTGGATCGACGTGGCGGGTTGCCTGCTCCTGGGCTTCTTCGGTATGGTGAGGCCGTTCGATTTCTTGAGGCTGAGGTACCAGGACCTGGTGCTCCCCTCTCGCTCTCTTGAGCGACTGCAAGCGATGTATGTGCATGTCGGCGCGCCAAAAATAAGACGTCTGGGCGCGCGCTGTGAGCACATCCGGATTCATGTTCCACAGGTTGTGCAATTCTTCGAGGCCCTTTCACTTCGGTCCTCCCCTCGCCTCCCTCTCATGCATGGTGGCGCCCGTGCTCTCAGGTCTTGTCTGGACTTTCTCTCATGGATTTTTCGGAATTAAACATTCGGACAGGGTCGGCATCACCCCGGCGCCCCTCCTTCTTGGAGGGGCCACGTTCTGGTATAGGCTCACTGATTCGCCGGACTGGTTTCGCTACAGGGGTCGTTGGCTCTCCAGTCGCATGCTAGAGATTTATAGCCAGGAAGTAAGCTAGTGCTAGTAGGCTGCTGACTGACCTCCCAGGCCTCCTTCGTGGTAAGATCCGGCTTTTCGCGGAGGCTGCAGGCGACCTCCTTCTCGTGTCCTTCTGGCAGCTTCTGGCTTCGAGTCGTTTGCCGAGGCCGAGCGACGGCGGCCCTTGCCCTCCCGGCCCCCGTCCTCGAGTACCGCCGCGCCGCTGCGAACCGAGCTCTTCGGTTCCCGTCTCGCTCCTCCCGCCCCCGCCCCGTTTTCCACCACGAGCGGTTGTGGCTAGCAGGGGCCCGTCCCATTTGCGGCCGTCCTCGCCCTCTGAAGATTGCAGAGACACTGGTGAGCCCGGAAAAGGCCGGCCTTGGGTAGAGAGGAGCTTTTTCAGCAGAGGAAGGGCATCGCTGATTGCAGCGATTCCTCGAAAGCTCTTCCGCCCCCGCTCACCCTTGGCTGGCAGAGGCCGGTCCCATTTGCGGCCGTCCTCGCTCTCAGAAGCTCGCAGAGGCAATGGTGAGCCCGGAAAAGGTCAGTGGCCTTGGGTAGAGAGGGGCTTGTTCAGCAGAGGGAAGGTTTCGCTACACACATATATATATATATATATATATGTATATATATATATGTATGTACACCACACACACAGTTTTACGACCACCCTGCGGGTGATAAGGAGGTTTGGGGGGCAGCTATGGGCAAAGTGGTGATTGTTGTTCTGACGATGCTTGTGGGGCGAAGTCTAATGAGGAGTGCGGTTGTGCACGTGAGCGTGATGTGATGTGGCGATGTCGGCGAAGCGCACTCGACATTGTCGTGAGGCGCTGTCCCCGCGTGCGCTTATCTATCGCGCGAACCAGTCGACGTGGTCGAACGTGCGTGCTGCGGTGGCGCGGTGACTCCAGCGGGACACCAGCGGGACACTGGCGGGACACCGCGCGCCACCGGCCGCCGGAGAAGAATCATTTGGTCTGGCCGCGGCCCAGCGCTACGAGGATCTCGGGACACCGGCGGGACGATTTCGGGACACCAGCGGGACACCGCGGGCCTCCGGCCGCCGGAGGAGAATCATTTGATCCGGCCGCGGCCCAGCCACAGGAGGATTTCCTCTCGCCCGCCCACGCAGCTTCGCCTCGCCCGCACGCGCGCACGGCACTCACGACACGAACCCGAAACCGAAATTGATTTCCCGGCATAGGGGTGGTGGTCCGTTTCACGTCGGACTCACCCCCCAACCTCCGATACATACATATATACGTATACGACCAGACTTAGGGTGATAAGGAGACTCGGGGGGGAGGAACCAACGTCTCACTCGATCGGTTCCACTATCGATATCACGATCGGCATCACTATCGATATCGTTCGATCGATCTCACTCGATTGATCTCACAATCGATCCCACCCGATCTATTTCATTCGATCGGTCTTACAACCGATATGACTTTCGATGGCACAATCGATATTAATCTCGGTGTCATTATCGATCTCACAATCAATACCACATCCGGTTTCACTATCGATCACATTATCGGTACCACAATCGATATCACAATCAATTTCATTATCAGCATCCACAGCGTTGCCATCAGCGTCATTAGCATCAACATCATCATCATTATCATCATCATCATCGGGACACCATCATCATCAGCAACTCATCACCATCTCCATCAACATTATCACCATCATCATCGTCATCACCATCATCGTCACCATTATCATCATCATCGACATCACCATCACAGGGGCACCCTCATCATCAGTATTATCGGAACATCACCATCATCATATCATCATCATCTTGAACAACATCACCACCACCATCATCATCGGAACACCACCATCATCAACAGCAACACCAGCATCATCAACAGCATTACCATCGGGGCACCGTCATCATCGCCACCATCTTCATCATCACCATTATCATCATCGGGACACCATCGCCATCATCAACATCAACATCATCATTACCGTATCTGGGCCACCATCATCAAAACCGTCTTCAAAATTTCATCATCCTCCTCACCAACATCAACATCACCATCACCAACATCGGAACACCACCATCGCCATCATCTTCATCACCATCATCATCACCTGGACACCATCATCGCCATCATCGTCAATATCGTCATCATCAAACCCATGATCATCGGGACCCCATCATCATCATCCACCTCATCACCATTTCATCAACATCATCATCAACATCATCATCATCATCATCATCATCATCATCATCATCATCATCATCGGGGCACCGTCATCATTAGCATCAGCAGCAACATCATCAACATCATTTTCATCGGGACACCGCCATCATCACCACCATCACCATCATCACCATCATCATCAACTTCGTCGTCAACATCGCCAGCATCATCGGGAAACCATCATCACCACCACCATCATCATCATCATCGACATCATCATCATCATCATCGGGACACCGATGGGACACCGGCGGGACACCGGTGGGACACCGCGGGCCACTGGCCCCAGGAAAGGAATCATTTGGTCCAGCCGCGCTTCGGCCGGAGGCGGGAAACCGACGGGACACCGCGGGCCACCGGCCCCCGGAAAGGAATCATTTGGTCCGGCCGCGCCTCAGCCACAGGAGAGTTTCCCTTCGCCCGCCCACGCAGCTTCGCCTCGCCCGCACGCACGGTACGCACGAACACGAAACCGAAACCGATTTCCCGTTAGGGGGGCTCTCCGTTCCATCACGATCTTACCCCGTCACTTCCGACATATATACACACACGCTTAAACACCTACCAACAACTATACACACATGTTTATATACATATATGTATGTATGTGGTGTGTGTGGTGTGTCTCTGTGTCTCTGTGTCTGTGTGTCAGTGTGTCTGTGTGTCTGTGTGTCGGTGTGCCTGTGTGTCGGTGTGTCTGTGTGTATCTGGGTGTCTCTGTGTCTGTGTGTCTGAGTGTTTGTGTGTGTCTGTGTGTCTTTGTGTGTGTCTATGTCTCTGTGTGTCGGTGTGTCGGTGTGTTTGTGTGTCTGAGTGTCTGTGTGTGTTGTGTGATGTGTGTTGTGTGTTTGTTGTGTAATGTGTGCTGTGCGTTGTGTGTTGTGTGCGTTTCTGTGTGTGTGTGTGTGGTGTGCGTGTGCTTGTGTGCCTGTGTTTCTGGGTTTCTGTGTGTCTGTGTATATGTGTGTGTTGTGTGTTGTGTGTGTTCTGTGTTGTCTGTGTGGTGTTGTGTATTGTGTGATGTGTGGTGTGTGTTGTGTGTTGTGTGTTGTGTGATGTGTGCGTGTTGTGTGTTGTGTGTTGTGTAATGTGTGTTGGGTGGTGTGTGTTGTGTGTCGTGTCTTGTGTTTGTGTATGTTGTGTGTGATGTGTTATGTGTTATGTGTTGTGTGTCACTTGTCGCGTGTTGTGTGTGTTGTGTGTTGTGTGCTGTGTGGTGCATGGTGTGTGTGTGTGTGTGTCTTGTGTGTTCTGTGTGTTGTGTGTTGTGTGTGTGTGTGTGGTGTGTGGTGTGTCGTGTGTTGTGTGTTGAGTGTTTTGTGTTGCGTAGTGTGTGTGTGTGTGTTGTGTTATGTGTTCTGTGTACGTGTGTTCTGTGTTGTTTGTTTTGTGGTGTGTGGTGTGTGTGTGTGTTCTGTGTTGTGTGTTGTGTGTTGTGTGGCGTGTGTTGTGTGTGGTGTGTGGTGTGTGATGTGTGTGTGTGTGCGTGTGCGGGTGCGTGTGCGTTTGTGCGTGTGTCGCTATCGTGCTCTCTCCCTCTCTCTCTCATTATCTATATTTCTGACCCCCTCTGTCTCTTAACCACCTTGTCTCTCTCTCACACACACACTCTCTCTGTCTGGTTTTCTCTGTGTATCGGTCTCTCTCTCTCTCTCTCCACATCAATAGATGCGTAAATGTTTGTTGTACGTGTATGTTTAGAGATGCGCAAATAGCTTCATACTTCCACATCGTCATCCCTCCTCTTCCCCTCCCCGCTCATCTGTCACACAGTATGTGTCCCCATCCTTTGCCACCGCCCTCTCTGTCTCGCCAGATTGTACCTCCCCCTCTTATTGCCCGAGGCACCTCAGGCAGTCATGTCGCGGCAGCTGACGTCTGAGAACGCCGAGGAACGCATCGAGTTGCGGATGAAGTGGGATTGGGAAGGGGAGGCGGAGAGGTCTTGGGGCGTCTTACACGTTGTTGTTAAAGACGAGACAGATAATTAGAGTTGCATTCGCATGTATGCTTGCGGATCTGAATTGGGGTGAGGACGCTCGTGCAAGTCAACGGACGGCCTGCCCTATCGTATCAACGCTGCAATATGGTAAGGTCAATCTGCACGGCGACCAGGCGATCAAGACATGGTCGGCACACATACGAAGCCCTTGCTGACGAGATCATGCGCCAGTAAGGCGACATGCATTATCAGCATGTCCCTAAGCAGCGCATGCTGTACAGGGTCTCCACTGTGTGAGGGAGCCCGTTGCTGCAGTCTAGAATGCGCCACCCGAGTGCCGTGCCGTGCTGTGCCGCGTCCCGTCCCTGCGTTCCAGATTGAGACAAAATGTGCCGCCCGCTTGTCGTGCCGTGCCTCGCCCGCGCACCGCGGTCCCCTGCCCTGCGCTCTGAGCTCCGGAAGACCTGCCGTGCCGTGCCGTGCCCGCGTGGTGTCCTGCGCAGCCGATGGGCCGCCGGCGCGCCGTGCCGTCAAGCGCCTGCGTCCCAGAGGAGGAGTCGTAGGAGGAGGAGGAGGAGGAGGAGGAGGAAAGGGAGGAGGAGGAGGAGGAGGAGGGGAGGAGGAGGTAGGAAGAAGAGGAGGAGCAGGAGGACGAGGAGGAGGAGGGTGCCGCCCGCTGGCCGTGCCGCGACCGTGCCACGAGGCGCGTGCCGTGCCGCGGTTGCGCTCCGGAGTGCGGAGGTTTGCCGCGCCCGCGTGCCGTGACGCGCGCCGTGCGCGCCTTCGCGCGCCGGGTCGCGCCTGCGTACCGGAAGGCGCAAGAGGATCCCTCCCCTCGCGCCGTGCCGCGCTTGCGTGCCATGCCGCGCCCGGGTGGCATGCCGTGTCGGCGTGCAGCGGAGGCCTGGTTCAGGGGAACAGAGCGTGGCGTAAACATAAAAACTCGGAGGTCCGCGCGGATTTCTCGGATCGGCGCTGGGTGCCCCCGGCGGCGCCTCCGGCGCCGCCCCTGGCGCGCTCCGCGCGCCAGGGAGGGGGGTCCAGCGCCGATCCGAGAAATCCGCGCGGACCTCCGAGTTTTCCAGGGCGGCCTGGGTGTCCTGGGCTTCGGTGGTGCTGCGAGGGAAAACGCGCGGCGCTCCCACGCCAGAGGTCGATGGACGGCCCGGGGTCTCAGGGTGGGGTTGCTTGTGGAAGGTTCTTCCGGTGGTCGGGCCCCTGCTGTGTCAGCGTGCCGTGTCCGTGTGCCGTGGCGCGCTCGCGCTCTGCAGTGCGACCCGTGTGCCGCCCTGCCTTCTCCCTGCGCCCGTGCGCGCTTACAGCCGGGGCCCTGAAGAAGGAACCCTTTTCGTTGGGGAGGGGCTCCGTGTTCCTTAATTGGTTCGCAGCTTGCCTTGGATGTTCCTTAGGCTTCCGATACGCAATCGGAGTTCAACTTATGGAAAACAGGGGCCTCGTTCCTCATTTAGGGTTCCTTGGGTCAACGCCTCGACTGTATTGTAGGGCGGTGTGCTGGCTGCCCAGCGCTGCCCAGCGGCCAGGGTCCGTCTCGTCGGCCGCTGGGCCTCGGCTGTCCCTCCGTCCCTCCGTACCGTGCTGCTGCTGCAGTGAGGCAGGAGGCGTGCCGCCTTCCTGCGTGCCGCGCCGGTGCGCGCGGCGTGTGCCCGCGTGCCCGCGTGCCGCCCCGCACGCGCGCGCGTGCCGACGAGGAGGAGGAGGAGGAGGAAGAGGAGGAGGAGGAGGAGGAAGAGGAGGAGGAGGAGGAGGAGGAGGAGGAGGAGTGGCGATTCACGACGTGGCTGCTCACGGAGCGGTGCCTACAGTGTTTGATCGTCGTCGCCCCAGCATGCTGACACACTGGGTGCGCGGCGGCCCCCACAAGGGGCGAAGTGCGCACCGAGAGAAATTTACAGTGTGTACGTCGTGGCGGGCGCTTTCTGGCCACACCGCTCGGGGATCGATGCGCTACAGGCTGGGTATATACCAGATGTTCGGGTCGGACGCGCGCCTCCAATGAGGACAGTACTGGTGTGTCTCTTCGGGTATGGCCAGGACCCTGGGTACGGGGACCCGGTTAGTGGTAGGGCCCCGGAGCCTTCGAATTGGCCAGAATCACTGAACCAGGTTTGCCATAATTTGTGTTTTTTCGGGCGACGACAGTTCCGGTTAGTGGAATGGGACGGGGGGGCGCCCCCGGTACAGATCACTAAACCAGGTTCCGCTAAACCCAGTTCTACCAACGCCCGATCTTTGCGCATCCCATCTGAAGATGCGGGAATTCAGAGTCACATGTTACGAAGTCAATCGGCCGGAGCGCCCAGCCCGCCCTATCGACACGTCTGGTGGTGGGGGGAGGGGAGCAGGAGCAGGAGGAGGGGGGGAGCAGGAGCAGGAGGAGGAGGAGGGAGGAGGAGGAGGAGGAACAGGATGAGGAGGAGGGAGGAGGAGGATGAGGGGGAGCAGGAACAGGATGCGGAGGAGGGAGGGAGGAGGAGGGAGGAGGAGGAGGAGGAGGAGGAGGAGGAGGAGGAGGAGGAGGAGGAGGGAGGAGGAGGAGGAGGAGGAGGAGAGGAGGAGGGAGGAGGCAGGAGCAGGAGGAGGAGGAGGAGCAGGAGGAGGGAGGAGGAGGGAGGAGCACCGGGCAGGAGGGAGGAGGGGGATGCCGAGGGAGGGCGACGGGGCACGAGGGAGCAGGGGAGGAGAGGGGGCAGGGCGAGGAGGGAGAAGGTGGCCGAGGGAGGAGGAGGAGGAGCGAGGAGGAGCGAGGAGGAGGAGGAGGAGGAGGAGGAGGAGGAGGAGGAGGAGGAGGAGGAGGACGCCGACGGCGCCGACGCCGCCGACGCTTCCCACTGGCGACGAAGGCCGCCTGGAAGGCGACGGCGTGCGGTGCGGGGCGGGAGCGCGCGGCCTGCGCAGGAGGCGGCCCACGGCCTCCTGCGCGCGGGGCTCCACCCCGAGCCGCCGGAGCAGCGCCTGGAAGGGCGCCCTCTCCCGAGGGGAGGCGGGAGGCCTGGCATCGCTCGGACGTGTGCGGTTTTTTCCTCGGCGAGGACCATCGTGGAGCATCCTTGACCATTTGCCGAAAAAACTACGCACAAAACCGAACAAAAACACAGGGAATGGACGTCCGAGCCATGGCGAGGAGGAGGAGCCTGCGTTGGACTTTCGAGGGCTCGAGGGCTCGAGAGTGCTCGAGGGCTCGAGGGCTCGAGGCTCCCGGGTGCGAGGGCTCGAGGGCTCGAGGCTCGAGGGCGCGAGGGTAGGAGGCTCGAGGGGGGCGAGGCGCCGAGAGCTCGAGGTCGAAGGGGCTTCGAAGGGCGCATGGGACGCCTCCCGTCGCCGCGGCTGGAGCCGCCTCCTCAAGTGCTGCTGAGGACGCCCCCCCCCCGGGCGGGTTCGGAGTCAAGCCGAGGGGCGAGGTCTCGACCCCTGGCGACCCGAGGAAGTCTCGCTGGAGGCTGGAGGTTCGAAGGTTCGAGGGTTCGAGGTTCGAGGTTCCAGGCTCGAGGCTCGAGGCTCGAGGTTCGAAAGGTTCGAGGTTCGAGGCTCGAGGGTCGAGGCTCGAGGGACGAGGTTCGAAAGGTTCGATGCTCGAGGCGCGAGGGTCGGGGTTCCAGGGCCGAAGGCCGGAGGTGTCGTTCACTTTTGTTCTGCGTCGCGAGGTCCGGGATCGGGATTCACAGACTGAAGATGGCAACATTCGGGGGTGGACGGACCTCCTACCCTGACACGTCGATTCAGGAATTGGCCGTGTTCGGTTCGCGAGAGGGCGTCGCGGCCGTCATTCTTGCGGGTCCAGGTCCGTCGGTTTCGGTCCCAGGCCGTTTTCACTTAAGGGGAGGTTTACTAAAGGGAGGTTTGTCCATCGCCGAATCATTGCATTGAGGACAGGGTTGGGAGGTCCGGGTGGCAAGGGTTGAGAGGTCTGGGGCCAGCGTCTTGAAACCAACACGGCGCCAGAGGTCCGAGGATGGAGGAGTCGTAGGAGGAAGGCGAGGAGGGGCAGGGAGGGGTTCTTGAAGTTGTTAGTGGCCTGCAGAGTAACCCTGAGACACATGATGTGAGGGGTATGAGAGTTCACAAGGCGAGTTACCGTATCAATGCATTCGCGACACCACCGGAACACTGTCGAGACAACATCGTTCATTAAGAGGGGCGCCATCATTGAACATCGAGATGGCCGCAATCGGAGTACAATCGAACCACCAATCGAGACACCCTTTGGGACACCATCTGCAACGACAACATCGGAACCCGACCCATAGCAGCACCATCTGAGCATTCATCGGGACAGCGTCGAAGACCAATCGGAGTGCCATCGGAAGGGGCACGATCGTGTCATCATCGACACAACCATCGAACTCCAATCGAGCACACACAGCTGGAACGCTGGAAAATCAAGTGGGACACCATCGGGAGGCCATCGCCCATCAATCGGGGCGCCACCAGGATATCAGCGGGAAACCTCTGGGACACCCGACAGGTCCCGTCGACCGAAGGAATACAAGGAGCAGGGCGTTTCCCCGCCCACCAGTTTTCACGTAGCTTCTCACGCGTGTCGCGCACGACATGATCACGACTGGCGATGTTCCGCCTGGGGCGGCTTCAACTAAAATCTCACGCCCCCGACCTCCAATTGGGAGGGCCGACGCGGAGTGCCGTCCCAGGCGCAGCCACCGCTTGGGGGGTATCCCATCATCGGGGTCCTCGGGAGGCAGCGTGGTGTGGATCCATTGTGGTCCTACGGTCCTCCTCCTCTCTCCTTCTCCTCCGATCTCCTCCTCCTCTCGCCTCCTCCTCGTCTCTCCTCCTCGATTCCTCTCTACATAGCTCCTCCCCGTCGCACCCTGAGGCCGATCGAAAGGGCGTGCCAGGCGTTTCGCTTGAGACTTCTCCTGCATTCACGATCCGGATGCTTTCAAAGTGGCAACAGTGTCAGATATGGAGGGCGGGCCGCTTCCAAAATGTGGGTCTCGCTCTAGCGCGGCACGCATGCTCTTTAGAAGCCTGGAAGAGCTTCACGGATTGAGGGCGATCGGAATTCAAAATGTGGTTCTCGTTTTCGCGCCGCGCGCACTCGTTTTGAACTAGTGAAAGAATTTCACGGATTGAGGGCGGTACTTTTTCAAATTGCGGTTCTCGCCTTGGCGCCGCGCACACTCGTCTTCAATATTTGTAGTATAGTCAATGGTAAGTGTACAACTGAATACCAGGAAACAGTGGCCACAAGTACGGCCACAAGGCAGCGATCCATAAGGACTTGTGTTTCTTAATCGAGGGCCTCTCGCGGCAGCTTGTATGTATCTTTCAATTCAGGCTTCTCCAATGTTGCCACGTAGTGGGATGTATATGTCCCCTTTCCGAGATAAGTGTCGTCCGCGTCTTCCCTCCTCTTCTTCTTCGTCATTTTTCTTGTCCTCCCTCTCCTCCTGCACCTTCCTCCCCCTCTTCCTTCTCCCTTCCTCGCGCCCTCGCTCACTCGCCCCCTCACTGGAGAGGGAGGGGGCAGAAGGGGGTGGAGAGTGAATGGGGATGTGGGCGAAGAGAGGCAGGGGAGGAAGTGGTGATGATGGGTGGGTCGGGGAGGGGAGTGGAGGGGCGGGCAGGCGATGGGTGGGGACGGGAGGACGCGGAGTGTGGATCTTGTCCGCCACCATCCCCGACAGGGGTTGCCGGCCCACGACCGGGAGTGTTCGTTTTGAGGGCCTCCAAAAGGAACGCTCCCAAGCCCGTTTTGGGGCCCTCCTGGAGCTGTCGTGGGCCACTCTTGGGGCCTTCTGGGTGCCCTCGAGGGCGTCCTTGCCGCCTTCCCAGGGCCCTCGGTCTCTTCCAGAACGGCTTGGGGGGGCTCCCAGAGGGCCCCAAGAGGGCCCCAACGGCTCCGAGGGGGGCCTGGGAGTGTTCGCTTTGAGGGCCCCTCCAAAGCGAACACTCCCAAGGCCGTCTTGGGGCCCTCTTGGAGCTGTCTTGGGCCCAGCTTGGGGGCCTCTGCGGGCCCTCGAGGGTGTCTTGAGGCCTTCCCAGGGCCCTCGGACACTTCCAGAATTGCTTGGGAGGGCTCCAAAAGGGCAGCAGAGGGCCCCGAGAAAAACACTCCCAAGCCCGTGTTGGGGCCCTCTTGGAGCTATCTTGGGCCCATCTTGGGGCCCTCTGGGGGCCCTCAAGGGCGTTCTTGTGGCTTCAGAACGGGCTGAGGGGCTCCAAGAAGGCCTTGACAGGGCCCAAAGAAGGCTCGGAGGGGCCTGGGAGCGTTCGCTTTGAGGGCCTCCAAAAGGAACGCTCCCAAGCCTGGCCCTCTTGGAGCCGTCTTGGGCCCATCTTGGGGGCCTCTGGTGGGCCCTCGATGTTGCCTTGAAGCCTTCCCAGGACCCTCGGACTCTTCCAGAACGGCCTGGAACGGCGGCTTCCCGACGCCCGCGGGGAGCGTCGGGCTCTGTGGTCTTCTTGGGGGCTTCCCTGCAGCGAGGGACTGGTGGCCCGTCGGTTTCGCCACGCCATTTGCAGCGCGCGCCGCGTGGTAGGGATTGGCCGCCAGTGGCAGGACTTCGAGTTTGGGGCCTCCGAGGTGGCCACAGCCCCGGCCACAACCCTTGCCTCAACCCCATGCCACGACCCGTTCCCGAGCCATGCATGTAGGCACTTTTGGTCCTCTTGTTCGGGTCGTTCTGGGTGTAGGCTCTGCGCTGGGAGAGGGGGTTAGGGGCCGGGATCCGCGGACCCAAGCACGTCTGAGGTGAAGGATAGCTTCAATCTGGAAGGGGAAACAAGCGGCACCCGCTGACATGTGTAAGAAGAGTGCAATGCATGTGTACAACATGGTAATCCAGGTGTAGACCAGGGTAAACCTGGTGTACGCCAGTGCAAACCAGGCGCAAGCCAGTGTAAACCGAGTGTAAGCCAGTGTTAAAGGGGCGTCAACCAGTGTAAAGCACTTGTGAAACAGTGGAAAACTGGGTGCAAACCAGTGTGAACCGGTGTAAACCAGTGCAACCTCGGTGTAAGCCGATGTAAACTGGGTATAAGCCAGCAGTCCAAACCGGGTGTAAACCAGTGTAAACCAGGTGCAAGCCGGTGTCAACCACATGTCAAAGATGTGTAAGACACGGGTAAAGTTAGCGCATCGCATGCGGAACAAAGCTGGAACTTTTCTTCAGGCATCACAGGGCCATTGAACCCAAATGTAGAGCAGGTATCCGCTCCCAAATCCACCCTCTAAAGCTAACCTGTTGTTAGCTTAATGCCTTCAAACCTAGAGCAAGCCCGAGCCTAGTAGCAGCCTAATGATTTCAAGCACTGTCCTCTCAAGCTCGCACCCTAAAGCGAGCCCGAGCCTGCTGGCAACCTAAAGTTTTCAACAACTGTTCTCTTAAGCTCGCTTCCTGGCGACCTAATGCCCTCAATACTGTCCTGTCAAGCTCGCCGGCTCGGGGCCCTCTTGTGCCTTGTTTGGGCCCCTCTTGGGGCTTCGCTGGGGGTTCTAGTCTAGTGTCTCAGGGCCTCGGGTTCTTAGTGTCTTAGGGTCTCACGGTCTTAGTGTGTTGGGGCGTTCTGGTCGTTTGGCATTTGGGTCTCAGGGTCCAAAGGTCAGGGTGTCAGGGTGTCAGGGTCCAAGGGTCTGATGGTATAAAGGTCCTAGGGCTTTAGGGTCTTAGGGTCTTAGGGTACTGGGGCCGGCGTTGACCTCTGAAGGTGCCCGAAGATCCAGTCCGAGGCGAAGTCCTTTGTTGGATTTGGCCGCGTCGCTCGATACATTTGCCCTGCGACCCATGTCAAGTACTAGGTGGGCGCAGTGGACATGGGAATGTCAAATTGCCAGAACGCACGCAAGCAAACGATTTGACATCGAATATGTGCATCAGAAATCCTTGAATCCAAACGCCAACCACATAACAACACAGAACAATCACGTGGCCAGAACGGCACAATGATAGCGGCACAGCATCCGGCTAGCTTCTGGCACCATCTCTGGCCCACCTTCCCG